TTCTAACAAATTTTTTTTCTTTATTGTGAAATTTTTGCTCTGCATTATTGTTTGTCAGTCACCATATAAATGCATCCTTTCTCCCCTTGTGCCCACCCCGCAGCCCCCTTGCACCTGGTAACCACCAAACAGTTCTCTTTTCCGTGTGTTGGTTTATCTTCCACTGATGAGTGAAATCATGTGGTGTTTGTCTTTCTCTTTCTGGCTTATTTCGCTTAACATAATATCCTCCAGGTCCATCCATGTTGTTGCAAATGGGACGATTTCATCTTTTTTATGGCTGAGTAGTATTCCAATGCCTGTATATATTACATCTTCTTTATCCACTCATCAGTCAAGGGACACTTGGGTTGCTTCCATGTCTTGGCTATAGTGAATAATGCTGCAGTGAACAGAGGGGTGCAGAAGCCTCTTTGGATTGTTGATGTCAGGTTCGTTGGGTTGATACCCAGTAGTGGGATAGCTGGATCATAAGGTATTCCTATTTTTAATTTTTTGAGGAATCTCCATACCGTTTTCCATAGAGGCTGCACCAGTTTGCATTCCCACCAGCAGTGAATTAGGGTTCCTGTTTCTCCACAGCCTCTCCAGCATTTGTTGTTTTTTGTCTTGGTGATTATAGCCATTGTGATGGGTGTAAGACGATATGTTAGTGCGGTTTTGATTTGCATTTCCCTAATGACTAATGATGTTGGGCATCTTTTCATGTGCCTCTCGGCCATCTGTATATCTTCTTTGGAGAACTGTCTGTTCATTTCCTCTGCCCATTTTTGATCTGTTTGCTTGTTTTCTTGTTGTTCAGTTGTGTGAGTTCTTTATATATTGTGGAGATTAGTCCCTTGTCGGATATACGGTTTGAAAATATTTTTTCCCAGTTGGTGGGTTGTCTTTTCATTTTGATCCTGGATTCATTTGCCTTGTAGAAACTCTTTAATCTGATGAAGTCCCACTTGTTCACTTTTTCTTTTGTTTCCCTTGTCTGAGTAGACACGGATTTGAAAAGATCCTTTTATGACCGATGATGAATAGTGTACTGCCTGTATTTTCTTCCAGGAGTTTTATAGTTTCAGGTCTCACCTTAAGGTCTTTGATCCATTTTGAGTTAACTTTTGTGTATAGGGAAAGGAATTAGTCTACTTTCATTCTTTTGCAACTGGCTGTCCAGTCTTCTCAGCACCATTTATTGAAGAGATTTTCCTTTCTCCATTGTATGTTCTTAGCTCATTTGTCAAAGACTGGCTGCCCGTAGATGTGAGGTTTAATCTCTGGGCTTTCAATTCTGTTCCATTGATCTGTGTGTCTGTTTTTGTACCAGTACCATGCTGTTTTGATTACTGTTGCTTTGTAGTATGTTTTGAAGTCAGGGGTTATGATGCCACCAGCTTTGTTCTTTTTTCTCAGGATTGCTTTAGCTATTCAGGGTCTTTTGTTGCCCCATATGAATGTTAGTATTCTTTGTTCTATTTCTGTGAAGAATGTCCTTGGGATTCTCACTGGGATTGCATTGAATCTGCAGATTGGTTTAGGTAGTATGGACATTTTAACTATGTTTATTCTTCCAATCCAACTGCATGGAATATTTTTCCATTTCTGTATGTCATCATTGATTTCACTCAATAATGTCTTATAGTTTTCATAGTATAGGTCTTTCACTTCCTTGGTTAAATTTATTCCTAGATATTTTATTCTTTTTGTTGCAATTGTAAATGGGATTGTCTTCTTGAGATCTCTTTCTGTTAGTCCATTGTTGGTATATAGAAATGCAACTCTAAGTTGAGTTTGTACCCAGCAACTTTGCTGTCCTTGCTGATTATTTCTAGTAGTTTTCTAATGAATGCTTTGGGGTTTTCCATATATAATATCATGTCATCTGCAAACAGTGAGAGTTTCACTTCTTTCTTGCCTATTTGTATTCCTTTTATTCCTTTTTCTTGCCTAATTGCTCTGGCCAGAACCTCCAGTACTGTGTTGAATAAGAGTGGTGAGAGTGGGCACCCTTGTCTTGTTCCTGTTTTCAGAAGGATGGCTTTCAGTTTTTCCCCATTGAGTATGATGTTGGGCATGGGTTTGTCATATATGGCCTTTATTATGTTGAGGTACTTTGCTTCTATACCCATTTTGTTGAGAGTTTTTATCATAAATGGTTGTTGGATCTTGTCAAATGCCTTCTCTGCATCTACTGAGATGATCATATGGTTTTTATTCTTTGTTTTGCTAATATGGTGTATCACATTGATTAATTTGTGGATGTTGAACCATCCCTGTGTCCCTGGTGTAAATCCCACTTGATCATGGTGTATAATCTTTTTAATGTATTGCTGTATTCGGTTTGCCAATATTTTGTTGAGGATTTTTGCATCTATGTTCATCAGGGATATTGGTCTGTAGTTTTCCTTCTTAGTATTGTGTTTGTCTGGTTTTGGTATCAGCGTGATGTTGGCCTTGTAGAATGTTTTGGGAAGTGTTCCATCTTCCTCTATTTTTTGGAATAGTTTGAGAAGGATAGATATTAAATCTTCTTTGAATGAGTAAAATTCTCCAGAGAAGCCATCTGGTCCTGGATTTTATTTTTTGGGAGGTTTTTGATTACTGTTTCAATCTCTTTACTTGTGATTGGTCTATTCAGGTTCTCTATTTCTTCTTGATTCAGTTTTGGGAGGTGGTGTGAGTCTAAGAATGTATCTATTTCTTCTTTTTTTTTTTTAATAATTTTATTTATTTATTTATTTTTTCCCCCAAAGCCCCAGTAGATAGTTGTATGGCATAGCTGCACATCCCTCTAGCTGCTGTATGCGGGACGCGGCCTCAGCATGGCCGGAGAAGCAGTGCATCAGTGAGCGCCCGGGATCCGAACCCAGGCCGCCAACAGTGGAGCGCACGCACTTAACCACTAAGCCACGGGGCCGGCCCTATTTCTTCTTGATTGTCCAATTTGTTGGCATATTGTTTTTCATAGTATTTCTTTTGTATTTCTGTGTCATCCGCTGTAATTTCTCCTTTTTCATTTCTAATTTTATTTATTTGAGCCTTCTCTCTTTATTTCTTGGTGAGTCTGGCTAAGGGTTTGTCAACTTTGTTTATCTTCTCAAAGAACCAGCTCTTTGTTTCATTGATCCTTTCTATTGAGCTGAGGCTGCAGGGCCACTGTGCTGAAGCACGGGGTGGGCTGGGGTGGGAGAGGGGCTCTTACTTTTGCCTCCCCCATCCCAGGGGTTTCTCGCTTTGCTGACACTCTGTTCTCATGAAGGGCTAGCTTCTGGAAAGTACACTAGCAGCAGTTCCACTCCCTTTGCAGGGGGATTCCCTATGAGCTGTGCATTATCTGGGAAAGGGCTGGTTTTACCGGCAGAGGGCCGCACCTCCCCCCCCCCAAAAGCCTCGTGGTCTCACTCTCAGGGTCACAGTCCTTTGGGAGGGGAGGGAGCTCCTCTTACCTCATTCCACTTGGTAAGTGAGTCTCCATCTGTCTGTTGATTTCCACTTTTGTTCTGAGGACACACTCCCTCACCACACGCACACACACACACACACACATATCACACTCCCCTCTCTCCCTGTGGTCCCAGCAGGGTGCAGTGTGCCCTGGGAGCTGCGGGTTTCTCAAACATGTCTGCCTCTGAGGAGAGGGGCTCATGTCTGGCTCCTCCCTTGAAGGGTCTCCCAGCCCTGACTCCCCAGACTCCATGCCACCCTCACCCGGCCTCTCACCCTCCTCTCCAGACAACTCAGACTCGAGAGGCCCCTCCTCACCAGGGTCCCCGGTCTATGTTCCGTGCTCCCCCAGGGTGACACCAGCTCCGTCTCCATGGTCCCCTCCACCACACAGCTTCACGTTTCCCTCTCCATATCAGCGAGGACACTCACCAGAGTCACTTTGCTCTACCCCCACTTCCCACTGCTGTTTTTCAGAGTCACCTCGCTCAACAACAATATACCATATGTTTGTCCTGACGTCGCCTAGGGATTCACCCACAGTGTTCAGAGAATGTGGAAGGTCACCCAGCAACTCTCCATCCTTCCCCAGATATATGTGTGAGTCAGCCCATCACACAGGAAACACTAGTGTCACCTTGCTCTGCCCTGACTCCCCCCTGGCATTGTGCAGAGTCACCCCATTCAACAACAATATACCATATGTTTGCACTGTCATCGCCTGGGGACTCACCCCCAGGCTTTAGAGAATGCGGGGAATCACTCAGCTACTCTCCAGCCATCCCTAGATTTCAGCGTGATTCAGCCCATGACACTCGGAGAACACCAAGTAACTCACAGACCTCACCAGCTTCCTCCCCAAGTTCTCCTACATCTCTATTCACAGCCCTCAGAGAATCTGTGGTGTCAACCAAATACTCTCCCACCATTCCCAGATTTCTGCGTGAGGCAGCCCATGGCACACAGGAGACACCTAGTGACACACAGTCCTCAACAGGTTCCTCCTCTCGGTCTCCCAAGTGTTCACCCACAGGCCTGAGGGAATCTCCCCTGTCACCCAGCTACTCTCCAATTGTCCCCAGATCTGTGTGACTCAGCCCATCACACAGGAAACATCTAGTGACACACAAACCTCTCCAGGTTCCTCCTCTCAGTCTCCCATGTCTCGATCCACAGCCCTGAGGAATCTCCCCTGTCACGCAACTACTCTATAGCCACCCCCTGATGTGTGGGAGCCTCAGCCCATCACACACAGGAATCCCCTCTCAGCTCACAGACTTGTTGTTCACCCCCCCCAACTCTCTCATTTATACACCAGTGAGTCTCAGGTTTCCTCCAGTGTTCCCATACTCATCTCCTTCCACACTCAGACACATCCAGGACCTCACAGACACTGTCCATCATTGTCCTTTTCCTCTAAGAGGTGGCCAACATGAGCCTGTGCCTTGCCCATTTCTCCATGTCCCTGGTCATGGTCACAAACTGACCCACGGAAGTGATCCTCCTGCATCCCGCCCTCGCACACACCATTGCCCTTCTACTTGCTATTGTCACACCCTTGCTCCCAGAAGAGATCTTTCTAATGGGGGACTTCACCCCACTGGCCATTATCAGCCCTCAGCTGGGCATCGTGACCCTCCTGCCTGCTGACGACCTGGCTGCTGGCGACTAATGGAGCGGGACCACCCAGCTTGAGCGAGTCCTGCAGGTGAATGGCCATACGTCTCCCCAGTGCGCCTGCCTCACTGCTGGATGATTCCCCAGCTTACATAGGACCCGCTGGGCTGAACACAAGACCGTGCTCTCCATCACCCTCTTCCTCCTCTTCCTTCCGCTTCTCAGCCTCCCAGTGTCTCTGCCAAGTTCAAACCATGCATCCCCTGTCATTGATCTCCCCATGAGGCTCTGCCCTCCCCCTGCCTTGGCCTATCTCTGATGTCCTCCCTCACTGCCTCTGTGCCTCTGCCTGAAGCCAGGCTTTGCTCTGTCTTTTCCCAGGGACGGGGCTAAGGGCTGACTCTCTCTGTGCCCCTCTCTCTGTCCTCCCTGTGTCTCCCTCTGTCCCTCTGTGTCTGCACCTCCCCTCCCAACCGCCCTTCCTGTTCCCCCCTCACTGCCCCTCTGTCTCTGTTATTCTGTGAGTCCCCTTCCTAGTTTATATCTCTTTCTTGTCTTCTTTCTAGCATCTCTTTCACCGTCTTTGCTCCTCTCTTTCTACTCCCCCCTCTTCAGCCTCCCCTTTCTCTTCTCCACACCTGCTCCCTCCATCTCTCACCCTTCCATCCTCTTCCCCATTTACCACTCACCCACCCCATGCCCTGTCTTTTAGTCCCCCAGGCTTCTGCCGCCCCGTTCTCTGAGTCCATCCTTGCTCCCTCTTTTTGGCTTATTATCTTTTCCCTTTGACCACCCCGTAACCCTGATGGGTCCCATCCCATGTATATGTCTGTGCCCTTTTCCCCCCAATTTGTATTCTCCGTGTTTTTCCATCTCCTTGTCTTTAGTCTTCATCCAACCCTACTCTGCCTTTCATCCCTGTACCAGCTTCCTTTCCCCGTGGGCTCCAACCGCAGTGAGCCAGTGTCCCATCTGTCTGAACCCACAGGGTCTCTCTCTCCTTCGTGCTCTGTCCTCCAGCCCTGCTCAGAGCATCTTCCCCTTCCACATCTTCTGCACCAGGCTTCGTGCTTGTTCTCCCTGGTTGTTTTCACACAGACTACCCGCCCTGCCTCTCCTCTCTCTGAGCACCGTCCTACCTTCTCTACTGAGCCCACCCCTGGGTCCCCTCCATCTCCCGCAGTGCACTGACCCCTCATCCACCTTTCTGTCCTGTCTGCCTGTTCGTGCGAGCTTGTCCATCTTTCCAGCTACACCCTCCCCCCTACAATCCCCTTACAGAAATCTGGATCAATGCTAAAATTCCTGGGAATTAAAATCCCTATCATCTGCACACTGACTGAAGCTGACTCTCGCCACCATGGAATGAACTTCTACAAGAGAAGGAGGAATGTAGAATTCTATCAGATAATTTAAAATGATTCATACACTTTGACTATGTATTATTAATTATTAATACACTATCACTACCATGACTAACAGTCAATTTTAAACTTTGGCTCATGGGGCAGATCAGTAATTCTTCCTATGCTGTCAGCTGCCCGAGACCCCTCCCCTGGGTCCCCACACTGCCTGGGGACACAATGAAGAGATGGCCCTTCACAGGACACAGTGAAGGAGAGACAGACTTTCTGGGTCCAGGACAATGAAAGCCCAAATACAATTCTTAGTACCATATTCTCAAGAAGGAACTTTTACCCCGAATTCATGATTTGCCAAATTTCAAATAGTCTCCCTTTTCAGCCACTGAAGTGCTTGTATCAATAGCAATAATTGCAGCCCATTGCTCTATCACACTGTAGCCTGAGGACACCACACTGCCCAGGAAGTGTGTCCCTAAAGCTTTCCCATGTGTCCACTGTGCTGAAGTTTGGCGAAGACAAAGGACATGTGGGTTCCTCATTTTCTCCACCCCTTCCGTCATTTTCTGAATATGCATTAAGCATTTTCTTCAAAGACTCAGGGTCCACATGGAAATAAATAACCGAAAAATAGTACATTCTGAAAGGTTTCTTTTTTTTTTTTTGCGAGGAAGATTACCCCTGAGCTAACATCCTTTGCCAATCCTCCTCTTTTGGCTGAGGAAGACTGATCCTGGGCTAACATCTGTGCCCATCTTCCCTTCCTTTATACGGGACGTCACCACAGCATGGCCTGATAAGCTGTGCATCAGTCCCCGGCAGGGATCCGAACCTACGAACCCCGGGCCACTGAAGGGGAGCGCGTGAATTTAACCACTGCGCCACCAGCCAGCCAAGATGATGTTCCTCATGAAGGACTGGATTCTATGTAATGAAAGCTAGGAAACTGACCTAGAGAGAGACACATGGGTTTAGGACTTACAAAGGCCTTGGCGAAGTTTGGGTGTGAAAACATCGCCCAGAGGTTTCTTAAAATCATTCCCATCATTCCTACACCAGCTGGACACAGCTCTAGCTCCTTCTAGTCTCCGTTCTGCTTCAGTGATTTTAAACAGAGCTGAGATCACTTCACCTTGGTCATCCATTCACACCACACCCCTACTCCCACTCCCACGACTGTCTGGGGTCCCGGTGTGGCAGCCCCTTTAGGTGCCTCTTCAGCCCCAGACGGCGGTGGATGAGATGCGGACTTGGGCCAGCAGGGCTCTCGGGCCCGGCTCAGGGGGTGGGTCCTGGACGAGGGTGGTGATGCATGAATGACCCCGGCTTCAGCGCTCTCCTCTGATGGATGGGAGGGGCTCCGATCACTCCCAGCTGTTGGGAACCTGAAGGGAGATGATGGTGTGAGGAGATGGGGTGATGCGGTCACCTCAGCAATTGTGTCTCGTCCCGTCTCGTCCCCACGCTGTCCAGACAGCCTCACTCACTGTGCTCCAGGAGCTGCAACCAATAAAATATTTGATATTCCGTGAAACTTGGCAGACTTTCATAGCTCTGTGGTCCTTTTCCAATTCATTTTGTACTTCTCCAAACAGAACTAGTGATTCTGAGAGGGAAGGACTCCTGTCTTTGAGGGACTACCCCCCAGGTGCAGTGTGCACATACGCAGGTGTTTGGGGGGAACTCAAGGGTCTGACGCTGGTGGTCGGTAGGTCCAGGTCCGGGTGTGCAGACTGTACCAGGTTTCTAGAGGGATTTTTGTACTCCAGATTCTGGTCCCCAAAGAGGTTATGCCCTAATCGCAAGACTGTGTTTTGAGAAAGTGGGAATTTGGGCGATGGGTCCAGAAGCCCAAGATGCTACTGATGGGGCGAGGCTAGTGCTGCAAACAGTGGGCCTTCGATGGGCGGGGCTTTGTCGAGAACGCTCGTGCGCATGCGCCGGGGTCTGAGGCACCCTTGAAAAGCAGTTTCCCGGGCAACGAGTCACTGGGCGGGGTCTGTGCCTTGGGGGCGGGGCGTCGTCTTTGCTCTCGCTCATGCGCAGTGTTTGCTGCAAGCTCTGGGCTGTTGGCGCTCAGGGTTCGTCTTTTCTGATCTCCAGATTCGTGGACCGCGTGCAGACAGGGAGGCACTTGTGTCCTCAGTCCCGAGTCCCTGCCGTCCCGTGTCCAGCCCGGGATCGACCCTCCAGGCTGGGCGGCCCCGGACCCTCCTTGCCTCCGGGGTGTCTGACCCTCCCCGCTCCGTGTGACCTGCGCGGCGTGTCGGGGACTCCCCGGGTGTCCTCCCCGAACCCGGGTCCCTCTTTCGGGGAGTTCGGCCTCGGCTCCCAGAGCCCGACGCCTGAGCCCGCGGTTCCCTCGTGGGGTATGGATGCCTTCAGTTCAGAAATGTGGGAAGGTTTGGGTGACAAGGGACAATTGTGACGTCCTCCACGAGGGGACGGAGGCGGGGACCCGGGCTGTGGTGGACCTGGCGGGTCGGGACTGGACGGCGACTGTGGGAGCGCGGATCTGCTGATGCTGAGGGTCCGCGTTAGCGGGGAGAGCGGGGTGGGAAGGAGCATGTGGAGGACCAGAGTGAGGGGCTGTTGTCGTTGTTAACAGGAACGTGTGTGTACAGTGTGTCCGCGGTTGTAGGAAATCATTAGGACTATAGGTCTCAACAAGTTCAAGGACTTTGAAGTTGTGGAAACAGATGATTTTTTCCACATTTCCTTATGTTCAATATTCCTACTTTTGTCCATTCAATGAGTTTTACATGAAAAGATTTCAATAAACACTTAAAACGTTTTCCACAAAATATTCATCAAAAACACTTCACGTTAGAAATGTTCTGTCAGGGGCCGGTCCGTGGCTTAGCGGTTAAGCGCGCGCGCTCCGCTGCTGGTGGCCTGGGTTCGGATCCTGGGCGCGCACCCACGCGCCGCTTCTCAGGCCTCAGCATGGCCGCGTCCCACATATAGCAACTAGAAGGATGTGCAGCTAGGACACACAACTATCTACTGGGGCTTTGGGGGGATAAAAGGAGGATTGGCAATAGATGTTAGCTCAGATCCAGTCTTCCTCAGCACAAAGAGGAGGATTAGCACTGATGTTAGCTCAGGGCTGATCTTCCTCACAAAAAAAAAAAAAAA